TTCAACTGGGATGTTTGGCTCTCTTGATCATGATCACTCTCATTGATCAATTTCCTAATGCAGCAAGAAGCTTCGGGCGGCGACTAAACCTGGGTTCGAAGTTGTTGAAGTCGAATAAATATGTTTCATTAGGATAGGGTTTACATGGACCTAGGTTGAGAAAGCGACAACAAAAAAGAGATGTAAAACTACACCGGTAAATTCCACGCGTCTATGACTTGAATATCCGTAGCAGCCGCGCCTCTGTCACTATCCTCGTCCGACAGAGAGGGCATTCTCGCGAGCTCCCCATGACTAAGTCGGAGCATCCTCTGCACATCGCCAAATGTCCGCAATCCACGATAGCGATATTGGCTTCTTCATCCTGACAAATGACACAGAGACCTGTGCGTTCGAGATGGGAAGCCATAGCTTGGGCCTTGGGAGGTAGCGGCGGAGGCGCGGAGGAGCTGGCTCCCTCAGCAGACTCGCCGGTGGCGGATTGCTCAGCAGCCGCCTTTTCGCGATCCTCTTTTTCTTTCTGCGTGCGGGTGAACTGCTCCATCATCACCCGCTGCTGCTCAATCCTCGCTTGCTCTTCTTGCTCCTCCGCCAGCCGCCGCCGCTCACGCTGCAAGCGCTCTTCCTCGACGAGATCCTTGACCTTCTTGACTAGATCGCTCTTCTCCAGTACCTGCCCAGGGTTTACATGATTCGTAAATAAGATACCCTTGAGGGCATGGACGGAGAGCGAGGATACAGAGTCTGGACTCATGGCCAGGAGCTGGTCGAGCGTGGGCGGCGGAACGGTCGGCGGCGGCGCAGTGGAAGCTGCGCGCGGACGCGGCGGCGTCCGATCATTAGTACTGTTAAGATTGTGCGTCGATCGCGATGGTCTTGGTCCTGGATGCTGGTACGGTCCCAGGTTGGGCTGCTGTGGGCGAGTTGCCCGCGGCGCGACGGGAGGAGCGTTATGATATGGGGGGTGGGCACCCATGTGGGAATTGAAATGGTTCTGAGAATGATAGTGGTCCTGGGGATTGTGATATTGGGGCGTCGGAGCGGCGGGGGGACGAGAGGCCGAGGGTCGCGGAGGAGGGGCATACTGTGGTTGGTAGGGGACGCGTGCGGGAGCCGTGCTCGAGGGCGACTGAGGTGGTGGACCCGGCGGAGGCGCATAGCGTTGTGGCTGAGGCGGATGGTCATCAGGAACAAGATCTGGCCGGGCGAACTCGTATGCTGGTGCCTGATTCGGCCGAGGGGGCTGAGAAGGCTGAGTCTGAGGCACATTCGAGGACCGAGAGGAGAAGATTCCGCGAGAACGAGCCACATTCGACCGGTCTGGGACGGAGTATTTGCGATAATAATTCTGTTTAGGGATCAAAAAAAAAACTTAATTGAAAGATATATAGGCACCTCGTGGGCCGGAGACAAGCATCCATTTCCCGCCTGTGAAGGTTTCAGTATCGGGGAAGGACCTCTCGGTAGGGCTTACCTTGGCGGCCAAAATAGCGTCTATAAGATCATCCTTTTCGACTGCTCTGTCGGCTTTAATATTATAGGCGGTGATGTACTGGCGAGCTCGGTCACATTCCGATTCTTGTTTCAGAAAGCTTTTAGATACCTTTTTCAGTTTCGACAACGATAGAGACTTGAGATACCCTCTGCCGCCAGCCGTAACTAACTCGGACGATTTAACACAGCCCTAGTCAGATAGATGCCACACGCACTGGTCAGGTATTCGACACAGTACGAACAAACGTTCATAGGATCGTAACCAGTCTCAGATCCGGTTCGTGGCATGAGACCCTGATAGTCGGTGCAGCTGTGGCAATACAGGTAACCTATGTGGACCTTAGTATCCCGGCGCCTACCAAGACTTAGACGACGTGCCACAATGGTTGCATTTTCGCGATCGAGTAAGTAGAAAGTTGAATTCCTACCACCGCCGTCAGAAAACCCTCGAGAGCCCGGAACCAGCGCCCTACCTTACTGCATTTCCGGCAGGCAACGGCGTCTGCGCGCGTAGATTCGAGGACAGGCGGGGGACCGGAAAGGAGAGGGAGACCTGACATAGACGTTTAGAAACTGAGTATTGCGACCAAGATGCGACCGTTGAGTGGTAGTAAAAGAGAGAGTTGCGACAGACCGAAGGTTCCAGCAATGGCGTCTAATGGCGTAGTAAGCAATTCGGGCCGAGCGGCCGTCGCCGAGTGGCTAGACACGGTCACGTGTATCAATGACTCGACGCGTACCTGAGATCGGGTTCTATGTGAGTCCGACCAGAGCAAATGATGGTACCGCTCTTCTCGTAGATGGAATCAGTTCTTCAAACAACGGTACCGATCAGAGCTCTGAGATGAATGGGAATTGCAGAAGGATTCAAGAAAGCTCCAGTCGTTTCCCGAGATCTTTGCTTTAAATTCGAGATAGCGGATCGTGAAAGTAGAGAATCCATTGACCATAAATACCTGGATTCGATGCAATACTTGAGTGTCCGGAATCCCTTGGGCGTCAGTGGCTGACATAGTACAAAAAAAACATGTTAAAAGTCAGATAAATATCTGGAGTGGTACGGCCTTCGTTTGAGAACCTCCGGGTTCGATTGCTCTGCGCTGTTCTGCGACGAGTACTCCGAGTCGTGTTCAACGTTCAACCGCCCACGTTCAATGGAATGCCGGTCCATCGGCCCGATGCGCACGTGAAATGCCGCAAATCGATGACTCCCTCTTTCGAAACCCCACCTTACAACTCTTCGTTTTCAAAAGTCAAAATGCTCACCGTGACCTTTGTGAGTTTTGCGCAGCGGCCACTCTCTTCAAAGTTGAAGGCTAACGGAGACTTAGATCAGACATGGCCAATCAAAGGACAACGTCGTATATATGGCCTTCTTCTGAAAACAATCGTCTTCTTGACTAATTTTCGGACCAGAAATTCATTTGGGCGGGTTGGAAAGACGCACCGTTGTCAGAACTTGGTGAATGCAACGACTCCGCGACCCCTAACCTCTGCTGAGCTTTACAGGTATCAAGGCAAGAAACATACTCGTGACCGATCCTTGCTACGTTCTAACTGCTTTGTGCAGCAAGCGACCGCGCTGGGCCAGGCATTCGCCAAATCAAACGTCAAGATTGATCACATTTACGCGTCTGATCTTTTGCGCGCGCACGCGACGGGGCAGGCAGTGTTGAAATACCATGAGTCGCCGAAGCCGCCATTCACATCCGATAAACGACTACGGGAGCAGCACTTTGGCGTCGCCGAAGGCAAGCCCTGGACACTGGAGCGTCCGCCCAACAAGACCTTGGAGGAGTTGATCAAGGAAGGAATCTACCCTGTTATCACCGACCGCTCCATCGGCTTCCCTGAGGGAGAGTCTCTGAACGACTTGGCGCGCCGTGCAGAGGAGGCTATAGCCGACTGTGTTGTCCCACACCTGGCCGCCGAGGGCGACATCCACATCGCGATTGCGAGTCACGGCCTTTGCATCAGCGAACTCATTGCCGCGCTTCTTCGTCTGGACCCCGACTCTCGGCGGGATATATCATACGCCGGCCTCTTGAACACGGCGTGGACTCGCGCTATTGTGTCGCTCAAAGTATAGCACCCAACGATTTATTCACAGCGATCACTCACTGGGGAAACCAGGACGCGTCGCGTACAGGTCCTATAAACTCTGCCAATCCTCCGCCTCTCACTGTTCAAATCACTGACGTGAACAACATCGACCACCTTGCATCCCTTGAGCTCGAAGTTGTTCGTTCTTCATCTCACGGTAATCTTACTAACTTTCTTGTAGGGAACCGAGGACCCTGCTGCCGTTGACGAAGATACAGCAACGGCTCGGGCGTTTTTCGCGGGCAAGGCGGTGGCCTAGATCACTAGAGACTCAGTCAGCAGTTCTAGATCTTAGATGCGAGCAAGAGAATTGAATTTGGTGAGGTGATCTAATTTGAACACTGAGTTGGGCTATCTTCTGCCGCCTGTTCAGAATGCCTTCAACCAAGTGTTTACCAAGACCAACATCAAGACCAACATGCCTAGTTTTGAACCAAGGGTCTCTGCCTCGTTTCTCGTTCTCTGGACTCCATGTTCAAATTTAGAGTCTGGAGTCTGGATGGCACGACGTCCACATCCAACACGGATGTGGCACCTTTGACCAATGACAACAAGTCCTAAGTCAGAAACGACTTCTTCTTTCAGTTGTGAATCTTCCTTCTTTTTTAACTTTCCTGACCGTTGAAGACTATCTTTGAATTTCACACAAATCTGCACACCGAAATACAAACCTTCATTACTTCGAGACGGAGAAAGACAGACCGTCCAGTGGTATGGTCTACCAAATGATTCCGAGCTGTTCACGGCATTCCGTGTCGGTAAGTGGAGATCTCTTCTCGATTTGGATGAAACTCAAGGTAAGATGTCGAAAGGTCCCCCAGTCTGCATAACTAGTAACCACTCGCTATCTGGCTTGCCCAGTGCTATGCAGTGCCCTTGCTCGCCTGCATAAGACATTGTTTCACACTCGTTGAGGGGTACAATGCTTCTTGACACTGTTGTTGTGAAACTGGAAGACTTCCCCAATCCTCACAAGCATTTATTAAGTACCTTTCTCTCCTTGTTGATGATCGCGTTGAGCTACACCCAAAACCTTGCACTCAGCCAAAGGATTCTCTCTAATATACCAGGAGGGTAACCTCTAGCAACATTCACTGTGTTCCTTCGGCCCCAAGGCAGTCGGTGTCTCCCTCAGGTGCTGTGCCTAGCTCCCGCGACTGTCTCCCTCGGTCTTGCTCAACCTATGTACCCAGACACCAGGGCCGCGGGAGCTAGGCACAGCAGTCGAGGGAGATCTCCCTGGTGTCTACCCAGGTCAAGCAAGACCGAGAGAGATACCCACTGCTGTTGGGCCCACAGAATGCAGTGATTGTATTCAACTCAGGAAAATATGTGCTACTTGATGACCAGTTGGTATACAAAGCCTGTGTAATACTGGAGACAAAATTGGGAGTAAAAGGGATTGATTGGAGTGGGATTCGAACCCACGCCCCGGAGGACCAGATTACGTAATCGGGAAGGTCAAATCCCGCTCCGCAAGTTGCACGTTTGAACGACGTTGATCCTTAGTCTGGCGCCTTAGACCGCTCGGCCATCCAACCGTGGCAGTGATTCCTATGTGGGAATGGTGGGGGGATGGCTGCTATATGGGAGAGGTGTGGTTCTTCGAAGCCTGCCTCCGTTGTAAAACGGTCAACATTAATTATTGGGCTGATTGATGCCTTTAAGGCTTGAGAGCCCTATTAGCTCGCGAAAAATGCTACCCATCTTCATGGGCACTTTCTGGGTTGTTCTCGGCGCCTTGAAGGCCCAGCGACGGGTCTGCATTGATTATTACCATATTTGGGCGCTGGCGTTGAATGAGCTCTGGTGCCGGCTAATCCCTAGCCCGCGGCCGGGAGCAAGCCGGCACCCCGCGTCCAGTGAAGCAAGAGCACAGCCGGTTGCAGCCCCTGACTCAACCTCTCCTCTTACCGTCGTCGTCGCTGCTCACCGCAGCATCCTCCCTCAATCCTACACTCTACGAACTCTTTACCTACCAAGTTTTTGTTCATGTCTCATCTAGGTCTTAGGCTTGGTCAGAGTGGTCTTGGAGGGCAAGCCCCTATCGTCCCAACTAGTGGTGCTGCTCCTGCACCCGGCGGTGCCGGGGGAACTAGCACAGCTGCAAACAGCAATCCAGTCAATCCAGCCCTGGGCAATGCCACCGCTGGTACCAATCCTGTGCCAGCCCCTGTCGGTACTGGTACCACAGCGCCGGGCCCTCTTGGGTCGAACCCCGTCCCAGCAGGTGCAGTGCTGGGTCCTCTTGGCCCGAACCCTACCCCAGTGGGCGCTGCACCGCAGATTCTCGCCGAGGCGCAAGTTGAAATTGCCCGCCTGTACACCTTGCTCAGAAATATCCACCAGCAAGCGCCCAATGCCGAGACCTTATTCGCGACACCCGAGGCGATCGCAAAGGCCAAGGCTCTAGCTAACGACGAGCCCAAGAAGTCTTTGCCTGCTATGGAGCCAAGTTTCAAAGCTAGCGCGCTTGATGTCGGTGAGTACTATGCTACCCCCACATTGTGTACAACCCTACCATGTCACTTTGTTACTGCAATACCATGTTTGTTCCAAGTCTACCATGTGCGTACCACGACAGCAGCATACCAAGCTGGTCTCAGCAATGTGTACCAAGTCTGGCATTCAAGTCATGTTTTACCATGTTGCTGTCTTTCTGTCGCCGTTCCTTGCACGTCACCAATACTGATACTGTTGGCAGCGATACCTCCCAAGGTCGAGGAAGCACTGAAACACTACCACTATGCCCCGTACACCGCACTTTCCGTAGCGGCCAGGCTTAAAGCGGTGTCAGATGATGACAACCTCGTACTGTCCGCCGCTGGGACTTTCACTGTAAAGGGCCTGGACCGTCGCGGCGAGAAGGCGATTACCATGGTGGAGTGGTATGCGGCAGCTTCAGCCGTAGAATCTCGCATCCGCTTCCACCACGGTGACCTGCGTGGCGACGCCTTCACTGGCCACCACCGTGTCGTACTGGACATTGCGCGGACCCATAATTTGTGGGACATAGCCATGGAGTACAACGTGACGCAACGCCATCTGGTGTCGATAAATCCGCGTCACGACCTGACGGAACTCGACACCACGGCCTTGGTGTTGGTGGTCACAAAATCCACTCAGAGTCCTCACTCCGCCACACCTGCCGCTGGTTCTTCCTCTGGAAAGTCAGTCGTTAAACGGTCCTTTCAAGATGATACCTCCGCCGGCCCGTCTAAGAAATCCAAAGGTCATTGCTTTCGATGCGGAGGCTCTGGCCACTTCCCCAGTGACTGTACCGCAACCACCACGTCCGCTAACAGGCCTGCAGCGGCGATCTCGCCCATGGCAAAGGGTAAACACACCCTACTCGCGACAGACGGACACGAGTTCTGCTTCAAGTGGGCGCGCCGTTTGCAGTGCCAGTTTGGCGGCAACTGCACTCACTTCCACGGATGCAGCATCTGCGGCAGTAACACTCACGGTGCCGGCGGGTGCTCCTCCACGGCCTGATCCTCGCCAAGTAGTGACACCGCTGGATGCAGCAAAAACGGAAAACATACTTCGTCATTTTGGTCTTTATGAATCGTACCGGCACATCATGGTGGGGCTGCACGAGGGTTTCGACGTCGGAATCCGAGGGCTTCTCCCACGTACTTATTTATTTCGACAGTCACAAATCTGCATCTGTCGATCCCGCCTTCATTTCTTCTCACATCGCCGGCGAGCAGGCTGCTGGGCGCTACTCCGAGGGTTTTACACCAGCCGAGCTGGAGGAAACCATAGGGCATTTTCGTACATCGCCGCTGGGTCTGGTACCCAAACCCCACTCCGAGAAATTGCGGATAGTGCAGGACATGTCATTCCCGCGGAACGATCCAGAAATTGCCTCAGTGAATGCGGGGGTAGATTCGGACGACTTTCCGACGGCCCGGGGCACGTTCGACAGTACTGCAGCATTGATTCTTTCACTTCCACCGGGCTGCGTCGCGGCTACATTCGATATTTCGGCAGCTTACCGATTGACACCTTTACGGCCCGACCAGCAGCACGCCGCCCTCTGTGTCTTCTGGAATGGGCTAGTTTAAGTGGATCACGCAGTGATGTTTGGTCTCTCCTCGAGTGCCGGTGTATTTGGTTCTATTGCCGATATGCTGGTTGTGATTTACGAAGTAGCTGGCTTCGGCCCAATCAGGAAGTGGGTCGACGACTTTCTAGCGATTCGTCTTCCCGAGCAGACCTGGACAGAGGCAGATTTCATCGCCTTGACGGGGGACATCGGCGTACCATGGAGCCTGGCGAAGACGAGGATGTTCGCAGAGATCCAGCGCTACATTGGCTTCGACTGGGATCACTCCTGACTTTCCGCCGCGATCACAATTCCCGATCTGGTAATAGTTTTCGGCCAACTTTCGGCAGCACAGCATCGTTTGATGATCCGCCGGCATAGGCTGCACCGCCATCGGGTCGACATCGAGGGCCCCTAGAATGCTTTGCTAACATTGGTACCATGGCTACATGGCTCGACTCTCGACCTTCTTATTTCGTGTGTATTCACCTGACTTCGGTTCGATCCTGTGCACGGCCATTTCTTTTATTTTCGTTCAATCTCGGGAATCAGAATAAGCTGCAACTCGCTCAGTTATGGCCATCGCTGAATTAGATGTGCCATTGCCGCTTGGATTAACTTAGCAGCAAAACACGAATTCAACCATGTTAAAATTAAGAAAGAGCCCCACGCAGTGGGCCCAGCGGCGAGCGTTCGGGGGTCCACGGGGGTTTCCCCAGTGCTTCAATCATTAAATTCAACACATATTCAGTGGCAAAAAGTGCGAAAACACTACCGCCACTGATTTGAAAGGCCGCTGATCCGAAACCGTGCCGCAACCAGTCCGAATTGATCATTCCATTTTGCTCTTTTGCGGTTCAATTTTGCCTCTAGTACAGTCCCCAGTCACTGTCCAGTAGTACAGTTGTGAAACCATCAATGTTGAGCTTGTAATTTCTGGATTTTGGGCCCTAGCGGCTGTTGAAAAGTACCTGGATACGTAAGTATCTGGGTTTTAGTACTGTGCAACTGCGTGCTCAAAAAGGAAATTTTTCCCTCTTTTGGCAATTTTTGGGTCACGCGTCGAGTGTTCGTCGTTTTGACTGTACAGCCACAATTTGTGGTTGTTTTGATGGCGCGTGTCTGGTTTCAGTCGCTGCGCTGTCGTCTCTTAACTGATGGCAGTCCTCTCGTTGTGGGCCGTGTTTTCGCTTCCATCGCACATTACTGACACGGAATTCGCCATTTCGTAGGCGGCGTGCAGCGCGCCACAGACATTGATCTCCTTTCAAGGCTCGGGTGCATTCACTGAAAGTCGTTGACCTCAGCTCTCCCCGGCTTTACATTTTCTACGAGATTGCCTGAGGTCGCCGTCGCTGGCGCTGATCATGCGTTGACGACAGACCTTCGCTAGATCTGTCGTTCTGCTTTGTCCTAGGTGGTGGTTCATCGCTCGCGTTAGTCTGCAGAAAGCAACTGAAATGTGTCAGGCCGTACTTCGTCTTTTTTAAACAATCGGGGGCGTTTGGCAGGCTTACTGTTGAGGCCTGTAGGTATGATGTTCACTTCTGGCTCTTTATGTAACCGGTGCTCGTGAGTTCACACATTCTGGTTTCTGTGGTGACCGTACCCCATTTGGACCGCTCCTCATTTGGGTTTTGTGCGTTGTTGGTCCCAACTGCAACCCGACTTATTCTGCTAAGGTGATCACCCTTTTTGTAAATGGCAGACCATGGCTCTTGTCAGCATCTCACGCGCGGCTGCTAAATTCAATCTATCGCGTTTCGGGGGACTCGTACATGTTACGCAACCTACGTCTGGGGCATACACCACTGCCTATAGTTTTGCCGGGACCTCATGGGTTCGTAGTCGAGCTCGTCCAAGTGCTGTGATTCTATCACGAGGGTCCATTGTCTATTCATTGGGCTTGCAAAAAACAATGGAACACAGATCGTTGCAGATAGATGAAGGAAGGATTGTTTTTGTGGTGGAAACTTGTTTGAAGTGCACCTCTAGATTAGTCGTTCTCGAAGTCGTTTGAATAGAGCAGTCCTAAACCAGTGTTTTTTGTTTTCCAAAGAAACATTTGGGAGCTAAAAAACCAATTTTTACAGATTTCAGGAGTCCTCTAGTGCGACTCTTGATCTGTTAAGCAGTTAATATCATTCTTTCACTTTGAAACATAGAGGTACGTATCCAGGCTCCGCCCGGCAGGGCCATAACCGAAGAATGCTGTATGTCTCCGACGACACTTTCCGTATTGTTCTCGGCACCCTGAAGGCCCAGCGACGGGTCTACATTGATTATTGCCATATTTGGCCGCCGGCGTTGAGTTAGTGCACCGCCACTGATCTCAAAGGCGGTCCGAAACTACGCCGCTAGTCCCTAAATGCTACTGTACAACAACAACAAAATCGTACCTCGCAATGCCGCGCAATGATTGTAGTCCTCAGCTCCCTCATCTCGCTTTCGCTCTGTCTGGCTTCTGATCGTCGCGGCTAAAGCATATGG